CGCGGCTGGAGAGCCGTTAGTAGCAGTCTGCGTGCAGCGCAGTTTCGTTTTCTGCTTTGGTGGACTTAGTTCAAAACTCTGTACAGTTGGGCCGGTTATGAAGATTGCTAGCAAAAGGGGGAGGTCGGCGGGCAGAATCTAAAGAGGAGGTTTAAGAAGTCTTCAAAAGGAATTTTCTTAGGCTTTAGAAAGAAAGGAGAGCGTGCCGATGTTGGTTAGCGAGAAGTAGGCCCCGTGGCTGATGGCAGAAAGGCGGAGGTCGCGTCTGTCTGCCCAGCGGGGCTTCACCTCAACACGGGGCGCAGGGCTGGCCTCGGCAGAGGGGGGCTGGGGGCAGCCGCCGCGTGCCCCGTTCGCAGGGGCCGCGCGGGGCAGCCGCGAAGGGCAGAGCGAGAACGCGCGCCGTGGCGCACCGCATCACTGCCCAAAGGAGGGCCGTGGCTGCGTCGGTGAACTCGGTATGTCGTGTCCCGTTTGTCTGTCTGTTTGTTTGCTAGGGATCTAAATATCACCAACTGTGCATTTGAAAGACTACAAGAAATGACAGAAGTGTTGCATGAACCGATTTTTTTTTTTTTGGTCTGTGCTTTTTGTCAAAAGCTTTTTCTTGGTATCTTTCCTTCTTTTCTAACCTAAAGAAAACACTAAGATAAAGTTGTCTGGATTTTCATTTTATGTACGTTTCCTGGTTCATATCTCATACATTGCTTTACAGTAGTAAATCACAAACCATTTGGCAAAATGAGAAGAGTTTCATGCAGAACCTGAAGCAAGGAGGTGAGAACCAACTTGCAGAAAGTTGCCCAGTAAGTCTGGGCAAGCACAGCCAGGAAAGAGTTAAACCTCCTACGGCCTGTTATTGTCTGCAACAGCAGGGCACGCTGGGTAGTTGCCACATATTCATTCTCCCCCTTACTACCCACTTTTGAAAAATAGTATGAGGATAACTGCTTCATTTTGATATGCCTTGCATGTTTCATCCTCTGTTTTAATGGAGTTTGTGATGTTGTATATAGGACTAATGGGAGAAATCCCAGATACAGCCTATTTCTTCTACACGTTGGCAGTTTTACTGTTTGGTAGTTAAAATAAGTGCAGATGATAACTGAGATGTCTCTGTTCTTTTCTAGTTTTTATTTGTTTCTTCGCTTTTGAACACGATCCCCAAGTAGCCCTCTACACTCCTTTTACATTGCAGTGCTCTTTGATGGTTTCCTATCAGCAAGTCTGCATACAGCGCTGGATGGCCCAGTGCCACAGTTCTGCTTTTCTTGATCGTCTTTCCTCTCAATTCTTCCCCTTCTTGCAGGCATTCACATGTGTACTAGTTTCTCCAGGTCTTCTCCACCTTTACTCCCCAAAAGCAAGTTTTAGCAGTATGCGAACTGATTATTTTTCCATTTTGGCTGAGAAGAATTTAAATTGATGCTAGCCAAATCAATGTATTTTAATGTAGCTGTCGTGGCTGTGTTACTGTTAGACCGAGCTGGGAACTCTCGGTAGTTGAGCATTGCTCTTAACTAAAGTCTACGCTCCTCAGGGTTTTTTTTTTTTTCATTAAAATTTAGTACTTTTCCTGCATCCATTAGATACAGTACCGCCAGTATATTTGGAAAACTGGAAGTCCATGAGATCCGTGAAATCTACTTGAAGAGGAGGCAATACTGAGGAGAAATTGGAGAAGTCAGAATTTGTGATTAAAAGAGATATATAGTGAAAGTCTTTTACTTTCAAAGCGGTGACTAACAAGTTAACAGCCTATACAGCTTCCTGGAGGTATCCCTCATGATTTCTGGCTTTCTGCTTGAAGGAACAAGTTTCAGCTTGGTTTTGTGATCTTGGCTGGGCAAGAAAACAAGATTTGAAGTAGAAAACAGTAGCGAGACTCACATATTAGAGAAAGCTTTTCCCCTTTCTGACAGTGTCAAATGCACATACTCTGCAATTTCTCAGGCAGGAATTGAAGACCATTTGTTGATGGTGAAGGTTGTTCAGAATAGTTTCTTGGCCCAGGTCATTAGGAACAGGCAGGACTGCAAAATATCAAAAATTCTATTGATGTGCATCAATACAACCCCCTGTACCACCCTTTTGCATGGCAATACCTAGCAAATAGCTATGCCAGACCATCTTACATATATGTGGATCGTTAAAGGTTCTTCATCACCAGTAATTTGAAGGATAATAAGTATAATACTGAAATATTTCCTATTAAAAGGGGGAGAAAACAAAAGTGATTTTGGTCACGGGGAGGACAAGGATATGTGTCTTGTCCACAGCCCTTGTGCAGCTCTACTGCCATGATTTCCTTTGCATCCAGTGTTCTTTTTTAACCTGGGCCAGCTATTCTCCATCTGATCTTGAATACATCCTGCATTGCGGTAGCATTTTTTTTAACCCTCCAGTGATAAGTGGTTTATGATGGAGTCATGGGAATCAGCAGTTTCAAGTTTCCAGATTCATCACATTATTTCAGCTCTCAGTGACTGCTCGCAGTTTTTATTTATGAAGTGAGCAGGGCACAGATCACCAAGAATTCTGTCTTCTCCTTTTTTTTTTTTTTCCCTCTGATGATGCCCTTTTTATGCTGTATTTGCAGCACAGCACTTTCCCATGTGTCATCACAGGCCTAAGCAAACGTGTCTGCTACTGTGATTTGTTTGTGTTTGTCAGCATCCACAAATTACGGTGGTGCTTAATTCCATCTACTGTACTTTATCCATTTATATCTTGTGTTCTGAATGCACACCATGATAAAGCTGTAATGCCTTTCTGGGTGCAGGGAGTTACAGTACAGCTCCATTTCTGCCAGGAAAGAGTCACTTTGGAAAGACCTTTCTCCATGATGCATCCAGCAGTGCAGCCCAAAGAGAAGATGGGAGAAAATTTTCTAGGGCAGGGACTAAGCTTGAAAACAGAAGATTGTTTCTCCTAATGGAGCCACACAGAAATGTCTTTGTAGCACGATAGCATTGGCAGGCCGTTACGTACTGGGAGGCAGAAGTGGTGGGTAGGGCTCAGTGGAAGGAGAAGATTAGTTCCTCCTCCCCAGCTGCATCGGTTGACATAAATACTGTATTTCATATTTTGGACTAGCTTGACAAATGCAAAGGTATGTAGCTAGATACACGTACATTTACCAAGCAAGATGTGTAGTGCCAGATGGTCTGGTAACACGTGTCTGACATCCCAAATATATGGGTATATGTCAGGGATATGCTTAAACAGAGAGCAAAGCCATTTTCGCGTTCTGTTTTTTCTTACCCACAAGAATAGTAACATGCTAGTAACATATGGTAACGGGGTTAAATCTTCAGTAATTACACTCAAGATCTCAAGCAGAACCATGCTTTAATCCCCATGTCTGGAAAAAAAAAGTGAAAAGAGAAACTATGGAATTTAAAAGCTCTTTGGGGATCTGTAGCTTGCTGTGAGATAGCCTCTCATTCGTGTCATTTAGCCTACCTAGTGGCACTGCCCCACGTTTCAAAGTGCACCAAGTGTGTGACTTTTAAAGAACTTCTTAACCTAACAGAGCTACAGAGCTGTTAGAGATATTTAAAGTTATAGGGACTATTTTTCTTGTTTTCCTCTGTGTTATTTTCTTTTGCTTTGGAAGACATTTAAAGGATATACAGACTATTTGTCTCTTCAAGACAGGATCCTCTTTCCCATCTCTTGGTATAAAAAGCAGTCGTCTCTCCCACTGACAGTTCCTATTGCTGTAGTCTCTCTTATTTAATCCTTTTTCTTTCTGCTTATTAAGCTTGACAACAATTAATTAGCGGTCACAGCACTGAAGTGTTAGAAGACTATCTTTTTCTAGAGCTGGGGCGTTCAGAACTTCACTAAAGTACTAGAGAAGCACGTCTAGTGCAGTATGAAGAGAGAAAACAAAATAAGGCGATTTGTTATTGGCTATACAAAAGACCAAAAGTACATTTGCACTACTGTAGCATCCTTTTTTACCATCCCAGCCTTTTCATTATCCCCTGTGTTTCTTAGCACAGACAAGCAAGGGTTGTTGACAGAGCTATTGGCCATACAGTGCATGTTGTGGGCACAGCATATTGTTAGGAGGCTTCAGACCACAGAGGAATGAAACATTGCTGACTTTAACTGAATAACAGTGGACTTAGCTAATGAGAAGAAGTCCAGTGTAATTTATTCTCTCTTCCCTGGGGGACCTTTCTCCCCCTACAAAAATAAAAAAAACCATTCCGTATGCTTTTTTAACCGCTTGTGGAACGAGACAGAAAAAGTAGTTGTCTGATACTGATTCCATAATATAAAGCAGAATTTGCGAGTCACATTGGTAGAACTAATTTAAATTCTGGCTCTTTCTCATACAGTAAGAAAGATTAGGTGCCAGTTGGATTGGCATTTAGACTAACAGTTGTGGTCAACGTGGGAGGATTAACTGAAAATTACAATCTTCAGTTCACTTTTTCATTATAATTTACCCATTGTGATATTTTGCCCATCTGAAGAGATGTGTTGTTTAATGCAAACAAGATCCTTTTCATCTGGTATACAGCCACGTTTTGCTGAGATTTGGCTAGGTGGTATAAAGTTGTAGCAGCTAAATCCGTGCCTGAAAGTGTATAACAAAGACTTAAAATACAGAATTGGAATAACTGGACAGGATTCTAATGAAGTCCGTTTGACACACCTCAGCAGTGCTGCTTTAGTCTTTTAAAGCAGCATGTTTCATTCTCTGATCTGCATGCTACTAGTGGTCGGGACGACATGAAAAGCGTTCAGCAAAATGTTCTTAAATACATTATATTCTCCTAAATACAGTTAAGAAAAATAGAGGAGTAATAATAACAATAGATGAATGCTGCATGAGAATCGTCTTTTTTAAGACAGTTAGATGGTCTTTGGTTTATAAGGGATTGAGAAACGCTATTCTAAAGCTTACGAATGCAGTTGCTGTTTCCCATCACTAGGTAGAGTTCTTACCTCAAAATGAGGAATGGTCACACTATTCTGTTTGTATCATGAACAGGGGTGAAGAACAAATACAGCAAAGGTCTCTGAGCTGAAATAACTGGACTTGCAAATGTAACACTGCAGTGTGAGGAATAAAAAGCTGTATAAACATATACACTAAGCCAGTTATTTTCTCCAAATGACAAAGCTGTAATGGTGAAAAGACATTTTTTCCAGTTTTGTCACAGAAGTACACACTGAAATTTAGACCATTTTGCAGTCAGTGTATAGTGGCTTCTTACTAATTCTGCTAAATCAAAAAGTACTGAACCCTTCAGATGAATGCCTTGTTCCTTCATGGTGGCAATTTACTCTGCTTTCCTCTTAGGCATTAATTCTGGATTCTATACAGAGGTAAACTGTTGTTGTTGTTGTTACTACTGTCATATAAACAGTAAAACAGATTGTCAGATTGTCTTTTATTCCCAGCTAGAAACTCTTGCAACAGATTTTTTTTTTTAATAACTGTCTCTTTTCATAAGTAGCACCTCATGAGGAGAAAAAAAATTCTAAATAACCCAACATGCAGTATCAATTCAAAAGGATTAAAAGAATTGAACAATTAATGATTGCAAAGTAGGAGAAGGCTTTGTTCTGCATTCTGATTCCTACCGAACAGTACCTGAGCTTTCATCACAGATGTCAGGTAACAACATGGGTATTTTTACTAATCTAACGGCATAATTTCCAACATTAATTCCAACATTTCTATAAAGCTTCTTTTTTTTTTTCCACAGGAAAAAATATGGAAACACGAGCCAGCTGAAATCGTCTATCAACTCTTTTAGAAACACAAATACGCAAGAATTGTGGTTTATAACAGCTTTACTTTGAATCTTATTTTAGCTGACAACAGTCCTCTGAACCTCTGCTTTTGCCAGGAATCTACTAATGGACTCAGGTATGAAACAGGCAGCCAAAAGAATGTATGCAGACGTGTGGGCTATACCTCTAGCCATTTTGAAATGTACCTGTTGTGGTTTGCACCTTTCGTGTGCCATTTTTGTGGACTTTGACAGAGAAAGTATCTGCACCTTTCCTAGCTACCTTTTTAGCCACATGCATGTGTAGAATAAATGGAAATGTACTTACCCATTTACATTTCAGAGAAATATATTAGTAACAAGAATAACGTGAGACGTAGGTCTCGTAAATGCTTACGTCCGATTTGTGAGGCCGTTTCTATAAATAGAGCAGGGTCAGGAAGTAAATTTAAGTAGCGGAAGTTGATTAATTATCAGTTCCCTCCTTGGCATGATGGATGTCCACGCCAAGCAGCATTCCCAGATAAAATGTCTGGGCATGGTTTACAGAAGAACATCTGCCAAGGGCTGTTTCTAAAGAGCGACGGAGGTTTCACTCCGTCCACCGTGCGGTCCTGCAGTATTTTAGCAGACATTGAAACCCTTCGGTAGCTCTGCATGCCTTCATGCCACATTCCACAGCATGCAAAATGAGTTTTGTTTTCTCAGTTTCATCATTCGAAAATCCTACTCTAACGGGTTGCCAAACAGCCCTCAGCTTACTTTGAACTGAAAAATTATAAAATAATTATGTCTAAGAGTGGTCCCTGGCATGGTTTCACTTAGAAGTACAGGTACAGTGTAAGGGTCTGGTCCAAAAAATTTTGAAATGCGTTTTGGGGCAGGTCTGTAAGCAGGAGAGAATCCCTTTGGGGCCTACTTTTCATGCAGAATTTCCAGGATGATAGTTTATCACATTTCTGTTATTTCCAATCAAAATAAAAACAAAAGCATTTAAAATCTTATAGATCAGTAAAGAACAAAACCCTCTTATTACAAATGATTTTAAAGCATTCTTATTTTCCCATAAACAGATGTTTCATATATCACATTACCAGCAAGATACAGTGATTAATTTCTTATTCCACTCAAAGTCCATCATTCAAGTTTTTGGCACACACTAAATACTAATCTAAAATTTCACAATGGCTTGTTTTAAGTCAATTATTGTTGCAACCAGATCTAATTAACATGAATAGCAATGTAGAGATTATACACTGTTTAAATGCAGACAGTACTTTACAGATCAGTGGTGTGTATTATTACATGGCAATTCCACTATTGTTTGTGCAAGAAATATAGTAAGTAAAGTTCCCTATCACAGTAGGAGGCCAGCCAGTGGCCTTATGGGGTAAAAGGAAGCCTGGGGATATACTTCAGCACAAATAACCCTCTTACTTCTTTATTATATTATAATCTACTTTATTTTTTTTCTTTTTGATCATCTCTAATCAAATAGATTACAGTAAATAAGGTAGATTACTTCTACACCTCTGTATACTGTTTTAACTGTTCAAAGAGACCCTATGGAATTAGCATGCCCCTCCCCAAGCCAGCTTTACTTGCCAAAAAAGGGGTGGTAAATCATGAGTTCGTTTGCTGAAAGCCTTTGTTTTGGTGTGAGAATTAGGGCAGAAGCATGGATTATGCTTGTACTTGACCTCGTCCAGAGTGCCTGCAACTACAACCTGTTTCTGTATATAATGATATAAAAATAATGACTACAGTATTAAAGGGACAAAAACAAAATGAAGTGAGTGAACATTTCAATACAGGTGAACTGTCCTAACAACTCAGGCTTACTAGGGGGATGCATCTTCTGCAACAACCAGAAAGTTTAAGCATCCCAATTACTGAAGGCAGCTTTAAACCAAATAGTTGCATGTACACAGTCTCATTTGAATAAGAATGCATTATAAACGTGCTATTTAAGTCAGAATTATGTATTCATTTTATGATCATTCAGGCTGAAAGAAGCCACTAAATCATACAGAGCTGGCTCTGAAGACACGTGCAGAATTTCAGTTGAATACACAGTTTGGATTCTTTATTTAATAGAGTAAAAGGCTACATACTGTCATTGCCATTGTAGATCTATATATTTTTAATTTGGTTAAGACCAACAAAGAAATTTGACTTCTCAATAACGTAGGCAATAAGTTGGGGGCAGGTGAAAAAGCCATGAGATTTTGTTTTGCGTTTTAAAAGGAAACCACTTCTGAGTTATCAAGCATATAAATGCCACAGGGCAAGATTCATAGCCTCTATGGAGACCTCTGACTGTTCTGTTTTTCAGAGTTTTGCTTCTGCAGTGATTTGGAGCAGGACCTATGGGTGACGGGTTAGAAGACTATCATCACAGAGATCTGTGCCTTCACAAGCAGGTACAGAATGGGTACTTGGTTCCTTACAGAACATCTCAGTGTTTAGCAGCTTTTTAGGTTACTCTCTCTCTGAGTCAGAACGGTCAAGCTAATGTGTTTTTTTTGTAAAGGTTAAGCCAGTAAAAGGCTATATTTAATCTGGTCCTCTGACCAAGTGGGAGTGAGCTATAAACTGAGTAGAGAAAACAAAAGTAGCTTTCAGTCAAAACACATGGAAGTTACTCATTCATATACATTTTCATGGTCTTGATTGATTATTCATAACAGTAATTGAATAAATGGTGTCAAAATAAGACCATTTATAATTGAACAAAAGATTAAGAAAACAAAACAGTTATCCATAGAAGTATATAGAATTTGACCTTGTAAAGTTATTTCCTTGTCGGTCACTGACAAGTAGGAAATGTGCTGCTTGCAGAAGAAAGTCACTATTTATTAAAATTTATTAAAATATTTATTAGATATCTAACTAGATACTTAGATTCAAATATGTTATGTATATCATCAATGCCTTGTGAAATAGCACAGCCTGACAGCAGCTGTGGCATTTTGCCTTCCACCTTGAATTTTTGCCAGCTTTCTTATTGAGAAACCTGTATTCTCAGACTCCTGTATATGGAAAAGTATGGGAAATTTAAGAGAGTTTAGAGCAGTAGCTGCTATGACTAACCTGTGAGTGGGATTTTATAGTGGCTACATACTCTGGAGCGCCCTCCAGAGGGCTTTGGGGGGACGACAAGGGATGCCCAGCTGGGTATCTGAACCAGGCACACCTAGTGATGTGTACAGTGACTGAGGGCCTGTTGCCCTGTTTTTGCCCTGTCATCTTTTGGGAGCATGCAGGAAACAGTCTTTATGTTGATTATGGTTAGCATCCCTGGGCAGGGAAAGGTCCTCACTCTTTGCTTGATTCATTGTGTGCTGACCTGAAGACCAAAGTAAGTTACTTCCTTTTAAAGTAAACAACCAAGACATTATTTTACCTTCTGGTGTGCGCACAAGAGTGGCTGTAAATGAATGAGAGGGAAGTGATGTGGATCTCATAATACAGCCATATTACCATAGTGCTAGTATGTCGCCCATCGCTGCTGGGCTCCTATAGAAGCAGTACATTTATACAGAAATGGACTGCGCTCTGAGAACGGGCTGAACAGAATTCCATGCCCTGCAACTGAGAGCGAGCACCAGGCCCATTCCCTCTTTCTGATAAAAAACAAGAGGATGGCTTTTTTCCTCTAGACAACAAACTGCATCTGGCTGGCTATACAAAGTAGTGCTGCAAAACAAAAGGTGTGGAAGTGTATGTGCTACCACAGCACACTGAGGCAACCCCTGCGAGGAAGTGCAACTCTTCACGTCCCTATATACTGAACTGTCAGAGATTGCTCACCTACCCCTGAGTAAAATAAACCTGCTTGAATGTGTGGTCGGTAAATTTCCCCACAACACTGTTGAATGGTTATTACATTCTGGCCAAACCAGTCACATCTGTTAAAGCAAGCACAGCGTGTACACCAATAGGCAGGTCATGACTAACCTTTGTTCAATCACTGTACAGTCCACTTCTCTCTTGAAATTTTCCTTCAATAACCAAGAATGACACAGCTCAATGAACATGTCAATATGAAAAAGCATAGCACTTTGTGCGTATTTATACATATTTTATATATATATATATGCACACACACACACACGCACACACACCCCTGTATTTTCTATACATATGCCACAGTCCTTGGCAGTAGAACTCCAATAACGCAAAACCAGGCTTTATAACTGGCCAAGCAAAATGAAATCTTTGTTCAAGTCAATCATATCATCTGCAATAGGATACATTTTGAAAACTGCCTACTGTATTCCAGAATTTTAAGGCATGCCTTGGACATGAACGGACGCAACTCTTTGTCAGACTTTGGTGGAGGGAAAAAATAGGAAAGACACAAAAACACACTACCACATCTACCACTTCAGCACCTTTTGCAATTTCCATTGCCTCTGTAATTGTTAGTCAAGATAATTTATGAACGCTAAAACTAAAGCTTCTTCCTTACAACAAATATACTCACCTGACTTCTTGGCTTTCTTCTATGGTGAAACTCACTTAAGGAGGTACCACCATTCACTAAGTTGCTTGTTATTTTTATTTTGAGGTGACAACAAATTGTGGGATGGGCCAAGAATGAGCAACCATGACCTGGAGCCATGGCGATGTGGGGGCTTCTTAAACCAGTACAGAAGCCAGCATCTTGTGTAGCTGTCCTGCATGACTAATTTTCCGTTAGAGGAAAGGGCATGCATACCTGGGGAATAATTGGTTTGGAGAGAGCAGAGGCAGAGAGCAAGCTCACAGACTTACTGTCATGAAGAGGCAAGGCTACAGTTTGGACTGAATGCCTGGAAGGGCTGGAGGGGAGCTGACAACTATGAGGGGATACGGCGAGAGATCAAGACCAGTGTGCACAGTGATCTCCATCTACAGAAACACCAGCGGCCCCTACCAAGGACCAATTCCTGTTTGTACCTATCTGCACCCCAGTCCTTTTATAAAAATGTTTATCTAGTACGTACAAAAGTCCATTTTGCCCAAGTGCTACCCTTTGATTACATTGTAATGGAAAACCCCTTTCAAAGCTATAATGCCTCTTCATATTTAATAGATTTTCCAAAGGAAAGAGTAACGTCACAGATGTGAAAAAGGTAGGCAGCATTAGCGCAGGGAGATAAGGAATGATTTCTGAAGGTGCAGTTACCTAGCAACAATCTCTTGCAATTGCCTAATGGTATTTTAGAAGTGCAGAGGCTCCAGACCTACTGAAGCGAAGGGGATGAAGGGCTGGAAAGCAGTGAAGCTCCCACAGCCCTGCCCCAGCTCACAACACAGCCGCTGTTTTGCACAGGCAAAACCAGGCAGCCAAGAGAAAAGTAATAGAGAAAGCGAAGGGATCAGCCCTGCATGGAGGATTTCTTTCCCAGAGACAGAGAAGGAGGCATCACCACCGCAGTATCATACCACTTAAAAACCTTTCAGTGGTCAAGAGGAGAGGTAACGCTCTTTGCCATTATTTCCCCCCCGCCCCCCCGCGCCCGGCATGTTCTCCCCTTCCAGGGCTATGCCGTTTCTTCACCCAAAGCCCCAGGCACCCAGCCGGGCAGGGGAAGCAGACCCCGGCCTAAGCCCCACCGCGGGCACCCGCCTTCCCCA